ACATTAAACATATGATTAAGCTCAAATAACATAATCTACCTATCTTAACATTCAAAACAGCCACATAATTATCAAATCCAGCCACCAACCATTTCTCAATTCAGCTTATGCCATAACCCCTAAATTAACCCCTAAAATAACCCCTAAATTACCCTAATAACCCCTAAACACTATCCATTGGTAACCTACTAACCTAATCAAGGTTTAGGGAGTTACTTACCACTAATATAAGCTAAGAATCAAGCTAAACCCAGCAGCACCAGTCCCGGCCAAGCCAAGAGCTCCGGCGAACGGCGGCGGCCCAAACGGCGATCCGGCGAACGGCGGCTGCTCCGGGTGTGAACGGCGGCTTGCGGGCGGCTCACGGTGGTCCACGGTGGTCCACGGTGGTCCAAGGTGGTGGCGTGAGGGGCTGATGGGTGGTGGACGGTGGTGGGGAGTGTCTCGGCCAAGAGAGGAGAGAGAGAGAGAAAAATGAAGAGAGAGAGAGAGCAAGGGAAAAGTGAGGAGAGAGAGTGTGTGAGCTGAACATATCTCTACCAAAATGGAGGGCTAGGATGAGTCCTTGATGCCCAAGTATTGATCTAAGGGCTAGAAATGCATCTTGACAAAAGTCTTCTAGAAGGGCATTTTTGTAATTAACCAAAAAGGCAAGGGCAAAGTTGTCCATGAAGATTTTCGGTCACTAGGGTAAAGATACCAATAAGTCCTTCCACTCAACAAATAAATTCTAGAACACACAGGGGCAAAATCGTCTTTTCTAATTTCCGAGCCTAATTTCCCGTTTTCGCGAATTTCTGAGCAAACCGATAATAAAGCGAGCTTAATGCGGCGTCGTCCAATATAATAATTTTGATATCCTTGAAAGTTCGATACCCAAGTTCGGATTCCAATTCGTGGTCAAAATCGCTCAAACGCGACTTTCGTGTATCTCAAACTAACGGGCGGCTTTTAGGGTTTATGCGTGTCGACCCGTGGTTGATTTGATATCAATCCACGTTTAAGTTTACTCGAGCTATGGTGACTTCGGTTGTCATGTAATTACGAGGGTCAATCACTAGTTCCGAACGACACGATCGTTAGAAATTGATTTTGGAACGTTTGGAATGCATACAGTGATTAAACGGCATCACCCGTGACTCAATTGTATAACATTGTTAAATTGTTCCTTAATCATTCTTGGATCTGCCTAAAATGGTCCTAAATATCCCCTCGTCAATTCTTATGGTCGAAGTATCGATCCAGGTTCGAGTTCTTGGGTCGTGCGTATCAAAATCCTAACTAGCCATTCCCTAACGGTTAGTATTCTCAAGAATGGCCAATTCCGAGTGAGATATAACAGAAAGTGCATTGATGATAATATCATTTCATAAATCCCGAAAGTGGGTCGAAATTCAGAATGTCACAATTCTTCCCCCCTTACAAAAATTTCGTCCTCGAAATTTACAACCAAACCCAACTATTCAAACAAATGGGGGTGCTGACGCCTCATGATTTCTTCACTTTCCCACGTGGCTCCTTCCGTTCCATGATGTTGCCAGACTACTTTGACCAACGGGATTGTCTTATTCCGTAGAACTTGTTCTTTTCTGTCTTCTATCCGAATAGGCTTTTCCACGTACGACACCTTGTCATCCACGTCTATTTCTTCATAATTCAGCACGTGGGTCGGATCTGGTTCATACTTCCTTAGCATGGACACGTGGAATACATTATGAATCTGAGATAAATTCGGCGGCAAGGCAAGTCGATAGGCTAAAATTCCAATTCTTTCCAATATTTCAAACGGACCTACGTACCTCGGGCTTAACTTCCCTTTCTTACCAAACCGAGATGTTCCTCGCATTGGTGATACCTTGAGGAAAACATGATCTCCTTCTTGAAACTCCAAAGGTCTACGCCGTTTATCTGCATAATTTTTCTGACGACTTTGAGCAGTTTTCAGTCTTTCCCGAATGACCTTAACTGCCTCGACTGACTGTTCTACCAATTCTGGACCCGTAATTCTCCTTTCACCAACTTCATCCCAACAAACTGGTGTTCTGCATGCTCTGCCATATAACGCTTCAAATGGTGCCATTCTGATGCTTTGCTGATAACTATTATTGTAGGCGAATTCAACTAAATGTAACTGTTCTTCCCATCTGCCTTTAAAATCTATCACACAAGCTCGTAACATGTCCTCGAGTGTCTGAATCGTCCTTTCAGACTGACCATCTGTTTGCGGATGATATGCTGTACTATACTGTAACTTCGTTCCCATAGCCGTCTGAAGACTCTTCCAAAAGGTTGCGGTAAACTTAGGGTCTCTGTCCGACGTAATAGTTACTGGTACTCCATGAAGACGAACTATCTGTCGCATATACAGCTCGGCATACTTATCCATTGCGAAATCCTTTCGCACTGCCAGAAAATGTGCCGACTTAGTCAATCTGTCGACGATAACCCAAATGGAATCGTGACCTCTCTGGCTCCTTGGTAATCCCATAACGAAGTCCATGGTAACATGCTCCCATTTCCACTCTGGAATTTCCAAAGGTTGCAGCTGTCCACCGGGCTTACAATGCTGCGCCTTTACTTGTTGGCACGTCAAACACCGGGCCACATGCTTGGCTACATCCACTTTCATTCCGTTCCACCAGTAGTGCTGACGCAAATTTTGATACATTTTTGTGCTACCCGGATGAATGCTATAGTTGCTACGGTGAGCTTCTGCCAAGATTTCTTCCTTAAGCTCTACGTCATCGGGCACACACAAACGTCCACGAAACTTCAAGATTCCGTCCTCGGATACTTGAAAGTCAACCTTTCTCTTAGTTTCGTCCATTTGCAGAATCTTTTGAATATCGGGGTCCGTAGATTGTAATGCCTTAATTTTAGCCTGAATTTCTGGTTCAATCCTTAAAGTGGCTAACAAGCTTGAGAGGTGACTTACCTCAAACTTAAATTCAGAATCCCGTACTCCCTCGAGTAAAGTCCACTCTTTAATCATCAAATGTGCGATGCTCGATTTCCGACTAAGTGCATCCGCTACTTTGTTAGCCTTTCCCGGGTGGTATAAGATGTCACAGTCGTAATCGTTTAGAAGTTCCATCCATCGGCGTTGTCTCATATTCAATTCTTTCTGAGAAAACAAATATTTCAAACTCTGATGATCCGTGTAGATTTGAAACCTTTCTCCACATAAATAATGCCTCCAAATTTTAAGTGCAAAGATGATGGCCGCAAGTTCTAAATCATGTGTTGGGTAGTTCATCTCGTGAGGTCTCAACTGTCGCGATGCGTATGCAACGACTCTTCCCTGTTGCATTAAAACACATCCTAATCCCTTCAGCGACGCATCACTATAAATCTCGTATCCTCCAGGACCTGAGGGTATTATCAATACTGGTGCGGTAGTCAACTTATGCTTAAGCTCTTGGAAACTTCTCTCGCACTTATCCGTCCATTCGAACTTTGTTTCCTTCTTTAGTAAGCGAGTCAAAGGAGTGGCTATCGCGGAGAACCTTTCCACGAATCTTCTATAATAGCCAGCTAGTCCTAGAAAACTCCGAACTTCGTCACCGTCGTAGGTCTCGGCCAATTCATAACCGCCTCAATCTTAGTTGGATCCACCGAGATTCCATCCCCGCAGATCACATGTCCAAGAAATGCTACACGATTCAGCCAGAACTCACACTTACTAAACTTAGCGTAAAGTGCGTGTTCTCTTAAGGTCCGTAGAACCATTCTTAAATGTTGCTCATGCTCCTCGGGACTTTTCGAGTATATCAATATGTCGTCGATGAACACTATAACGAATAAATCCAAGAATTCCTTGAATACCCGATTCATCAAATCCATAAAAGCAGCTGGGGCATTAGTCAATCCGAACGGCATAACCGTAAACTCGTAATGTCCATATCTTGTACGAAATGCCGTCTTCGGTATATCCTCCTTTTTAATCCTTAACTGATGGTAGCCCGTTCTTAAATCTATCTTGGAAAATACCGAAGCCCCTTGCAGTTGATCAAACAAGTCATCTATTCTTGGTAATGGATACTTGTTCTTGATGGTCACTTGATTCAACTGCCGATAGTCGATGCACAAACGCAACGAACCATCTTTCTTTCTGACGAACAACACCGGTGCTCCCCACGGTGACGCACTTGGACGAATGAATCCCTTGTCTAGCAGCTCTTGCATCTGAACTTTCAACTCCTTTAATTCTGATAAGGCCATTCTGTAGGGTGCTCTAGAGATTGGCTCCGTCCCAGGGGCCAACTCAATTACAAACTCCACTTCCCTTTCAGGTGGTAATCCCAGCAATTCCTTAGGAAAGACATCGGGAAAGTTACACACCTCGGCTATGTCCTCTAGCCTTGGCTCATCAGCCAATGAGTCAAAAACAGTCGCTAGGTAACCTTGGCATCCTTCATCCAACAGCTTAGTCACCTCAAGCGATGAAATCCAAGGAATCGAGGTTCCTCCTCGGTTTCTAACAAATTCATATCGAGGATGACCAACAGGATTAAATTGGATCACCCTTCTACTACAGTCCATCACGGCCCTTTGTTTTACTAGCCAATCCATACCGATAATGACGTCAAAATCAAACATAGCCAACACCACCAAATCAATTAATTCCTCTCTACCACCAATGACTATCTTACAGTTCGAGCATCCTACTGAGATTAGCACTTTATCCTTTAGAGGAGTAGTAACATGCAACATTACTTCTAACGGTTTCGGTTCAATCCCAGTCAATCTAACAAATTGTTCTGACACAAATGAATGCGATGCTCCCGGATCAAACAAGGCATAAGCAGCATGATCACATAAAGAGACCGTACCTGTGACCACGCCAGGCGCATCCTCCGCCTCTTTGCGAGCCATAGCATAGACTCTTCCTTGTGCTGGGGGTCGATTCTGATTATTCTGCGGAGCGGTTCCAGCCTGATTCCCCATCCGAGGTTGTTGTGGTTGAAATGGCGACCTAACTTGTCGATTCGGGCAATCCTTCACTTGGTGACCATGCTGGCCACATCCAAAGCAAGTTCCATTCCTGCCAGGGCAAGGGCCATCCCATGCCTTCTTCCGCAAAATCGACACGGAGTTCCAGAATAGTAGGTCGGCTTTACGATATTCTTTTTAACAGGAGGGACAAATCGTTTATTCCCATTCATAGGTTTCTTTCCAAAGTTACGATTATCCCTAGCCGGTATAAACCGCGATCCAGATGCGGCATTCCTCTCGGTCATATCTCTCTCAATCATCTGAGCCCGCTCATAAAGCTCGTTGTAATCCCTAAGGTTCAGGGGTATCAGTCGGCTGCGAAGTTCCGGCTTTAAACCATCTCGAAACCTTCTTGCCTTATCCAAAGGATTCTCAACCATCCTCGGTGCAAACTTCGATAACCTAGCAAATTCCGCCTCGTACTGATCCACGGTCATCTGATTCTGGCGAAGCCGTAAGAATTCTGCCATCTTCTGTTCTTGAGCACTCTCAGAAAAGTACTTTCCATTAAAGGCATCGACGAAGTCAGTCCAGTTCGGCACAGTGCCCACTGGGAAAATTCTTTCTCGGGTGGCCTTCCACCAATCATTAGCATTATCTTGAAGTTGATACACAGCCAAAGTCACCTTTTCCTCCTCCGTGCACCCCAGAAGTGCAAAGGCCTTTTCCAATTCCTCAACCCAGCGAGTGGCAGCCTCGGGATCACCTTTCCCGTCGAACTTTGATGGCTTAAGTTTCAAGAACTGCTCCACCAACTTGTGCATTTGGCGATTCTCATTTCCATTTCCATTCCCCGGATTATTCTGTGCGGCGGCAGCAGCCTCAGCAGCAGCAGCAGCAGCAGCAGCAGTTCGTTCTTGAGTCTGCAAGCCTATTAACTGTCCAATCGCCTCTAGAGCCCTTAAAACCCCATCAACTCTAGGATCCTCTGCCGTTCTAGCTCGCGAACTCGATGCACCTCTGGTTCCTCTACCCCGGGTGTTCATCCTCACAGAAATCACTCCAAACACCTAAGCCTGCTATAATTCCACCATGGAATCAAAGACTTAAATCAACTACTCGTCTTAAGCAGTTCTAGGCAACGAACTACAGCAAGCAATTGTAAGCAAGCAATCACCCCAAATAAGCATCATAAGTACACACTTAGCAAGAGTATAGATCTTACCTTAGAGCGCCTGTAACGTTAGTAATAGCACTAAACCACTCAGCACTCATAAGCAGATAACAGTATGATGCAAATTCAAGCCTACCAATCACAAGCACATATTCTCAAAGCACGCACAAGGCGTCACAAACTGGTGATCAAGGCAAGTCTCTCTAACCAGCTACCCCAAAATCATCGCTCCTTATCACTCCAGGTCTCGACCAAACATGGATCGAGCTAACCTTGCTCTGATACCACTTAAACGGGGATGTCACGCCCCGTACCCTACGAACACGTAACATCCCGCCGCGGTCGTTAAGAATGCGACTCCCAGGATTCGTCGCCGACCCGTTACCATCGAAATAAGAGAAAATACGCGGAAGCCAAACGAACACTCCATTCAACGAACATTCAAACGGGATAACAGAGAGAGAATTTAAACAAACCAACGAACTATTTTATAAACTTAACATCACATACAACGATAGAATATACAAGCCTTCCTAAAGGTCACAAACCCAGACCACGCATACTCAAAAAGGGATAGGGTGGTCGATCTGCTCCACTACTCTATTCAAAAGAGGAGCTCCCAAAAAGATAGGGATCTCTAACCCTATCAAAAACCTCCACAACATCCTGGCGGTGCTCCTGGCGAAGCCGGGTCAGATGTCTCACTATAAGAACCGGACGGCAAGGACTCCCATTCAGGTTCTGGCCACTCGACCCACGCTGGAGGCTCTGTCACCATCGGTTCTGGCTCCGGATTAACTACAGTTCCGTCAGGGGGATCAATCTCCATAAGATCCCATAATCCTAAACCATCGTCATGGGGAACATCAAACCCCTCGAGAGGACCAATATTCTGAGCTCCGTCTCTCAGAAACCAAGCCATGTACTTATGAGCTGTCAAGTACTGCTCCCCATCGTCGACCCAAACCGTGCTCTCATACTTCCGATACTCCCTACCCTCTCCTACTGGGTACTCAGTCACCCAATGCTCCATCTCCGTTGGTACCCCGAAACGAAGCGGAGGCTCAGTCATAATCAAGGTCGAGGGTCTGAAAATGTTTAACAACAGGGAATGAGATAAATCTCAATAAGTAAACTGCCTAAGCCTCGACTAGGGCAATACGTACCTCCGGCACCCTAATCATGCCATTCTAACCAAAAGGTTAAGTTCCTATCCAACGGACAATGGTACCACATACTATGCAAGTCTCAATTTGTATCACAACCATGGCAACTATCAATATGCATAACATCAATAATAATAATCCAGACATAATCAATTATTCACACGAGTCTCGATTATAAGATGAAATCACTTCGGCCCGTCCCATACCGTGCCTCACGATTTTATCCTATAATAAAGCTCAAAGCATACCATATGCACATAACACTCGAAGTTGTCCGGATTATTAACGACCCACCATAGGTCACACCGAACTCCCGCCGGTCTTCCGGCATAGCCAGGCATCACCCCACTACTTTGGGCGTGGCAACGTCCGGGATCGAACCCCCCCCGACAAGTCGGGTACCGGACGGCATCCCATTTAGGAGCATCGATCCGGCCTCCACCGCGATCGGCAATGTCTGGGATCGAACCCCCCCCGACAAGTCGGGTACCAGACAGCATCCGAACTTCCGCCGGGCATCGTCTAGAACTCGTCTTAGACGGAACTTATCATGGTCACACACGTAAATAACCACGCATTGCCAATTTTAATCTTTCTTAATTAGCCAATGCAAGTGTTTATGACGTGCAATGTACTACGAATAAATATGCCATGAATCGCACTCGTTTTCGCATCAAACATCAATATATGATCACGATACGCCATGCCAAGCCAACAATAGCCATAATTAACCACACGATCTTCGTTCTAGGCCACGAAATCATCATCAAACTATACGATCAAGACATAGTCAACTAATCAGCCATGATTAAATAAATTAACCATACGATCAAACCAATTAACCATGCGATCAATTTTAAACAACTAATCCACCACACGATCGTCATTAAACCTTTAATCGACACATAATCGACTAATTAGCCATGCGATTGCCAATCAAAGTCACCCGATCAATCTCAAATCTCTAATAAGCCATATGATTAACTTTTATCACATCTTAATTTAATCTAAACCGTAGGATCAAAATTAGCACCTAATCATGATAATTAAGCCCTAAAATTAACCTTAACCATTCTAGAACCAATGGGGGCCATATGATCAAAGTCCAAGTCATCCAATTCAGCCACTACCACATGATTATTGCAGCCACAAGACTAACCCACGAATTTAATTAAAACAATCACTAACAACCATAATTAGCCAAATTAAGCACAATTAGCAACATTAAACATATGATTAAGCTCAAATAACATAATCTACCTATCTTAACATTCAAAACAGCCACATAATTATCAAATCCAGCCACCAACCATTTCTCAATTCAGCTTATGCCATAACCCCTAAATTAACCCCTAAAATAACCCCTAAATTACCCTAATAACCCCTAAACACTATCCATTGGTAACCTACTAACCTAATCAAGGTTTAGGGAGTTACTTACCACTAATATAAGCTAAGAATCAAGCTAAACCCAGCAGCACCAGTCCCGGCCAAGCCAAGAGCTCCGCGAACTGGCGGCGGCCCAAACGGCGATCCGGCGAACGGCGGCCGCTCCGGTGTGAACGGCGGCTTGGGCGGCTCACGGTGGTCCACGGTGGTCCACGGTGGTCCAAGGTGGTGGCGTGAGGGGCTGATGGGTGGTGGACGGTGGTGGGGAGTGTCTCGGCCAAGAGAGAGGAAGAGAGAGAGAGAAAAATGAAGAGAGAGAGAGAGCAAGGGAAAAGTGAGGAGAGAGAGTGTGTGAGCTGAACATATCTCACCAAAATGGAGGGCTAGGATGAGTCCTTGATGCCCAAGTATTGATCTAAGGGCTAGAAATGCATCTTGACAAAAGTCTTCTAGAAGGGCATTTTTGTAATTAACCAAAAAGGCAAGGGCAAAGTTGTCCATGAAGATTTTCGGTCACTAGGGTAAAGATACCAATAAGTCCTTCCACTCAACAAATAAATTCTAGAACACACAGGGGCAAAATCGTCTTTTCTAATTTCCGAGCCTAATTTCCCGTTTTCGCGAATTTCTGAGCAAACCGATAATAAAGCGAGCTTAATGCGGCGTCGTCCAATATAATAATTTTGATATCCTTGAAAGTTCGATACCCAAGTTCGGATTCCAATTCGTGGTCAAAATCGCTCAAACGCGACTTTCGTGTATCTCAAACTAACGGGCGGCTTTTAGGGTTTATGCGTGTCGACCCGTGGTTGATTTGATATCAATCCACGTTTAAGTTTACTCGAGCTATGGTGACTTCGGTTGTCATGTAATTACGAGGGTCAATCACTAGTTCCGAACGACACGATCGTTAGAAATTGATTTTGGAACGTTTGGAATGCATACAGTGATTAAACGGCATCACCCGTGACTCAATTGTATAACATTGTTAAATTGTTCCTTAATCATTCTTGGATCTGCCTAAAATGGTCCTAAATATCCCCTCGTCAATTCTTATGGTCGAAGTATCGATCCAGGTTCGAGTTCTTGGGTCGTGCGTATCAAAATCCTAACTAGCCATTCCCTAACGGTTAGTATTCTCAAGAATGGCCAATTCCGAGTGAGATATAACAGAAAGTGCATTGATGATAATATCATTTCATAAATCCCGAAAGTGGGTCGAAATTCAGAATGTCACAATTCCGATCGATTATTCATGATTTGCACAATTGAGACACGGATGAGCCTAATTTCTTATATGAAACTCAAATCTGAAATTAATTTTAGAAGATTCACATGAATTTGAGCCAATTTGACCAATATAGTGATCCAATGATTGAGAAATCCAAGAGTAATTGGTCCAATTAGTGCAATTCAAATTGACCAATTCTAGACTAACATCCAATTTGATGAATTAAAGCTCAATTTGGCCAATTGGACTTCAATTAAATTCATTAGTCTAGCTTGGCCATGCAATTTAACTCAAATTGAAGAGCAATTGAGCCAAACAAGTTAAGATTGATCAATTTGTACTTGTATTTCAAATTGGTTCAATCCAATTTAATCAAATTCAATTCAATTGGGTCAATCAATCATAATAGGGATGAAATTGGATAAAATTAGAACCAAATTGAATCAAGAATTGAACTAGTTCAACCCGGGTCAAACTGGTTTAACCCGGTTTGACCGGAATTGAACCGACCAATCGGGCTGACCGATTCCTGACCACAGTTCCGGTGGCTGAAGGTCCATTTTGACCGGCCACACCCCTTTCTCTCTCATGTGATGGAAATTACAAAAATGCCCTAAGTGAAATTACCAAAATACCCTTACTTAAAGGTTAAGCAAAATTACTTAGGGATTAAGCAAAAAAATCATGGTCATTCATTTAAAATTGCATCATGGGCCATCCATAGTGCCATGTCACTTATCCTTAGCCCTTAAGGAATATTCTTAATCATTAAGGGAACATTTTAGGCTATTGGATTTATCGCTAGAATTCAAACTTGGGGAGGTGTATAGGATTTTCCCTCCAAAATTCAAGAAGGGGGACTCATTTTCAGATCTGGTTTCTCTCTCTCTCTCTCTCTCTCTCTCTCTCTCTCTCTCTCTCGATCGACTGGGATCTTCCACCGCCGGTTCGACCTCTTGTCGGCCAGTTCCCAGCGCGCCGCCGCCTCATCGACGTCCCCCGGGTGCCCCCAAAGCCAGTCGCAAGATCACCCACCGTCGCCCTTGGCCAGAGCTCCCTAAACCGGTGCTATTTGTCTCTCAGCTC